CACTGTCACCGGAAACTGGAGAGGGGACGCCGACGCGGTCGTTGGAAGTGGGCGGTGGCACCCAGTCGTCCTTCATCCGAAGGAGGGGACTAAAAAATTGTCCCCCAGAAGCCACCGTGACACTTGGGGACCACTGACCTGGACGCGCACGAAGCGGGGAGCGGCGTAGCTGGGCAGCGTGTCCCTGGTGAAGGTGTAGAGGTTCTCGCCATCGAAGCTCGTCCCGGTTTTCAGGCGGATGGCCGCCATGCCGCACCTCCCCTCGCACCCTGCAAACGACGCCGGGCGGTTATTTTGGGCAACTGAGTCTCGTTTCTGCTTCTTGGTGGCCACTTGGACCATTCTGGGGACCTGTTGGATGCCCGAAGGAATGTTCGGATGCTTAGTTTGGGTGGATGTGTCCCCCTTTGGCCGTCTTGGAGGCCACTGGGACCATGATGGAGGCACATCCCGTGCCCGGCACAACGCTGGACGCGTATTTTGGGTGAACATTTCCCATTTTCTCCTCCTTTGTGGCCACTTGGACCATTACGAGAGCACACTGTGTGCCCAAAACAACAGCAGACGCTTATTTTGGCCAACTGAGTGCCCTTTGACTCTTCCTGGTGGCCATGAGGACCATCATGGAGACACGTCACTTGTCCAAACCACCACCAGATGTTCCTTTGGAGCAACCAAGTCCCATTTTACTGCTCTTGGTGGCTTCTTGGACCATCACAGGGGCATGTTGCATGCCCAGAACGATGCTTGACGCTTGGTTTGGGCAACCAACTCCCCCTTTAACCTTCCTGATGGCCACTCAGACCTTTACAGAAGCCCATGGTGTGCCAAAGCCATGGTAGAAACGGATTTTGGGGTCAATCAGTCCTACTTTAGCCTTCTTGGTGGTCAGTTGGACCATCACGTGGACGTGTCACTTGCCCTAAACACCACTAGATGGTTTTTTTTTGGGCAACCAAGTCCTGTTTTGCTCTTCTTGGTGGCCTTTTGGACCATTTTGACAATAATCATGAGCTCAAAACAATACCAGACTCTTCTTTTGGGTCAATGAGTCCTGACGTGGCCGAGCAGTTGGACTAGATGTTCGTTGTAGGTCTCTTGGTGGCCTCTCAGACCATTTGGGGACACATCACATGGCTGAAACGTCACCAGATTCTTCTTTTGGTCCTACTCACCCCCTCACACCACCCAATACTCACCCGGCACGGCCACGCCGTAGACGTTGACCTCCTGGATGAAGTTCACCATGACAAGAGTGGCCTCCACCTCTGTGGTGGCCACGTTCTCGCCTTTCCAACTGGAGAAGAGAAGGGATGAAGGTGTGAGGGAGGGATTTGGGGTGGCCGGTGGCATTGCCCACGTCGATGTGGGTGTGTAAGAGCATCAAAATTACCGGAAAGTGTCTCCCACGCGGTCCTGGAAGTAGACGAATCTTTCATGGTCAATCATGAGGAGGTCACCGCTGTTGAAGAAGGCGTCGCCTTTGACCAAGACGTCCCTCAAGATCTTCCTCTCTGTCTTCTTGGAATCGCCGGCGTAGCCGTGGAAAGGGGTGTTCTTGGTGATTTTGATGACCAGCAGCCCCGTCTCACCTTCGGGGAGGGAAAGGAGGGTTGGTGGTCGGTCAGCAACCGGGAAATGTCACCTCCGTACCCCACCGGGACGTTCCTGTTTCTTTGAGGGGTTTCTGGTGGCTTCCAGCCACCAAGGTGATGGTGATAAGGACCAAGAGGGCTTTGATGCATCTCAACCCTCTGTCTGGCTCCCTTTCCTCCCAAAAAGGCCTTTTTAAGGCTCAGCTCTTCTTACCGGGGCGGACTGGGATGCAGAGACCTCGCTCGTCACGGACGGGTTCGTCCTCCTCCACGTTGTACTTGATGAGCTCAAAGGGAGCTAACGCCTGGAGGGCAGAAGATGGACAAAGAGAGAAAATGGTGGGTGGAGGAGAAATGTAGGATAAAAAAAAAGAGTGAGAAGACAACTTTGCGTCCAGTGCCAGGTTCGATTCTCTGTTACTCGCTCGTTACAACCCCAAGTCCCAACATCAGCTGCTTGTTTCCCATCTGAGCTCATCGTCCTTTAAATCAGGTTTAATTTAACGGATTCAACCGTTGACCGAACTCATCGTGATCCTTCAAATCAAAGACCAGGGGGAGGATGCCGAGAGCTGCAACTGTGCGAAAAGGGTGAAAAAAACTTCTTTTCGCAGCTTTTGCTCGACACATGGGTGGTTGGGGCTTGAGAAGTGACACCAAAGTGTCCAGGTCACCATGGATGCTCTCAAACTAGACTTGGAGTCAACGCTGTTGAGTCAATGTTGGCCAACCAGGTGGAGGGGACTCCTTTTGGATGCGAAGAGGGGATCTTGGAGATCCTCAACCCATCCTGATGGGCAGCGGTGGCTTCCCCAGGGTCACCTGGGGCCACCACGAAGAGGGGATCCTGGAGACCTCTTGACATCAACCCAACTTGAGGTGTGGTGTTGGTCTTCCCAAGGCAACCCCCAACCATCGTCATCACTGGCAGCTCACCTTGAGGAAGACGTTGGCTCTCCCCACGGCCCCGATTTTGCCAGTGTAGTTGACGAAACCGGCGTTGCCCTCGGTGGCCCCGTAAAATTCCCAGATGTTGATGGGCCCGAAGCGTTGGAGAAACTCCTTCCACACCTCCGCCCGCAGGCCGTTGCCCAATGCCATGCGCACCCCATGCTCCCGGTCATTGGGGCGCTGGGGGGTGACAAAGGGAGGGGCCATCTCAGGGTGTGCCCCACGGCATCGCCTTCACCCCCCACACCACCCAGGGTGGATTTCAGGCTGGTGGGACCTCACCTTGGGCGTGTTGCAGAGGTAGCGCATGAGCTCGCCCACGTACTGGATGACGGAGACGTTGTAGCGGCGACAGTCGTCCCAGAACTGGGAGGCGGAGAACTTGGCCCGTAGGACGCAGGTGGCTCCTGTGGGCACACGGTGGGGTGATGGTTACCCCTCCCCTTTTCTCTTTGTCCTTATTCTCCATCCATCCATCCATCCATCATCTCCACCAGTATCTCCTGTCCATTCAGCCCCCCAGTCACCCACCCTTCTCCATTTCTGTCTTCTCATCCCACTCCTCTTTCCTTTTCCATCCCTACACTTTTTTGTCCTCTCTCCATCCATCCATCCATCCCCCCACTGATCCTTTTATCGCTGTAGAGATCTTTCTCTTCTTTCTTTTCTTTTCTTCCTTCCCTCCTCCCATTTCTCCATCATCCTTCAGTCCCTCTCCAGAAAAAGTCTGTCTGTCCCTATATTAAAAAAAAAAATCTCCATCCAATCCATACGTCCATGTCCATGAAACATTTGTCCATCCATCTAAAATGTCCATCTGGCCATCCATCCCTCTGTCCACACATCCATCCACTCATCGATCCATCCACCCATCCCTCCAGCCATCCCTCTACTTGTCTGTCCATCCATCCATCCGTTCATCCGTCCCTCCACCCATCCAACCATCCATCTGTCCATCCATCCATCCCTCCAACCACCCATCCTTCCATCCAGCCATCCGTCTATCCAACCATCCATCTGTCCATCCACCCATCCATCCCTCTACTTGTCCATCCATCCATCCATCTGTCCCTCCACCCATCCAACCATCCATCCATCTGTCCATCCATCCAGCCATCCCTCCAGCCACCCATCCTTCCATCCAACCTCTACTTGTCCATCCACCCACTCGTCCATCCACCCACCCATCTCCACCCATCCCTCCATCTCCACCCCCTCTCTCTGCCCATCCTTGCCCACCCCCCACAACACCGTGGGGGTACGTACCGACCTCGAAGCACCCTCCCACCCCGATGAGCAGCCCGGCCGAGTGGTAGAGCGGCAACGTTGTGTAGACGACGTCATCAGGCCGCAGCCCACAGAGGCGGCCCAGGAGAGCCACCATCATCACCTTCTTCTCTGTGATCACCGCGGCCTTGGGCAGCCCTGGGGGGAGGTTGGGAGCAGAGGGTGGGAAATGTCCTCCTTGGAGGTGCCTGTGTGGGGTGGGAGGTCCTGGGGATGTGGGGTGGGATGGGAGGGCAAAACCCTTTCCTCGGGGTGGTGGGTCTCCAGCTCTAGATGTCTCCAGACCTCACCGTGAGGAACCTCCTCCAGATGCGCCTGCGGTGATGGGGGTGGGATCCAGTTTGGGGTTGGATGAGGGAGGTCCGATTCCCTGCCCTGTCCCACCGAGGAGAGACTCGGGGAGGTGGCGAGTTTCCATCCTTGGAGACACCCAACCCTTGGAGATACCCAACTGCTGGATGGACGCAACCAGGAGGACCTGGCCCGGTGGGACCCACGATGGTTGGGGTGGGTGAAAAGCCTCCACAAGACCCTTCCACCATCACCCCCCACCATCTTGCCCACCCCACCCATGGGTGGCAACCTCCATCAGCTCCTCACCCATGACACCCAA